ATCTATACAAAACTAGTTTAATATAATGTGTTTTATCTGGTTTTGTCTGCTCTATAATTAGGGTCTAAAACAATAAAATAATATAGCATTTATGACTTCATAATATTGTAATTGGTGCATTTTTAATGATTTATTAGATAAAGAATATTCATATAAAATGGTTTTGTTTAACTAGACTCATAGCAGACTATATTTTAATTAATTATAACTTAATTAACAAAAGTTTTCAGATACAGTATTTTTCAGAAGTTCATATATTTTTGTTATTACGATTAGAATCTAGAATTGCTATAAATATGAATGAATGGATAGTTTTGGTCGATTTGCTTACATTTAAAGTTAACTTTTCAATAAAAATTAAAACATGTTATGATAACTGAATACAAATTATACATAAGATATAGTGTTTGAAATTTTATATGAAAAACACACATACCAATAGCTACTGATATTAGGGCTGCCAACTATTTCCATGACCTGGGAGGACAAATAGTCAAAATAGAGCCAGGAGGACATTGGGAAGACAAAAATGAGAAAACTGTTTAATTATGAATGTTACTATCTTTTTTTACTCCTAATAACTACACTATTTCAGTTTAATTACAATTCAATTCTTATACACAACTTGTTGTCATTCTAACAATTAATTGATAAATTGTTTTATGAATGATTACAAACTGGCAGGTTATTTTCATGAATTTCGGAAAGTAATTGAAAATGAAATGAACATTGTATTATTTTGACAATGTTCTCTGGGGGACATTTCCTGAGACCCCCGGGAGGACTGTTTTTTGAGAGACCAATCGGAGGACAATCCTCCACAAGGAGGACGTTTGGCAGCCCTAACTGATATACTTATTTGTAATTCATTGCAAAACTAACAGAAATCTTTTGGAAACATTTGATTTTTGCTTAAATCTAAATACAATGTTTTTACTTTTAAATTATTTGATAAACTTTTAAAATATTGCAGTAATAAGAGAACAATTATAAACAAATTAAGAAACTTTTATGACAACTCATAGTTAAAAGCACTAAAAAACAAAACAACAAAAAAATGATTTTTTAAAATAAAATTCTGTTAAATACGAAATAAATATTTAGAGAGAATGTACGGAATGGTAGTCTAAATCCTAAATCCATTTGCCGTACCGTATCTTAGAGGGCAAGTAGATGTCCAACAGGAATGTGGCCGAGTGTTCGGCCAACGACTGGATTTCCACTTTTTTGCCGATTCTAAGCAATAGATTCAATTGTCGGGTCCATTGGATGTTCTCTTTCATGTATTGCCTATTCTTCAAGTCTTGGATCTTCTTCTTATCGTTCTCTTTGAGTGGTATCTGAACACTAGGACTGAGTTTATAATCAATGATATCTGTGGGCAGTATTCCGATCCACTTGATGGCGGGCACCACCAGATTGGGCGACTCGTAGGACAGTGCGAGTGAGCCGTGTCTGAAAGTGCACAGAATCTCGAGCCCGTGAGCGTCGCCGTCAACCAAACCAAACACCGGTATCTCAAACGAGTTCCACAGTATGTGAATGAACGCCCGGGTATTCATGTCGGGGTAGCCGTGACCTGTCACCTGACATACCATACCATCGCAGTCATTAAGTCGATCACAGTTATGCACACAATAAGCCATTCATACCATAATGAGAGGGTATTTGCGGTGAATCTCCAGATGAATGAGTTGTTGAAAAGTGGCGTCTTTTTCGACAATCAACACGAATATGGCGTTTGACTGCATCCGCGACAGTCTTTCGGTGTCGTTGGGGATAGCGATGCCATTCGGGGAACTCAGACAATCAGTCAGCACTCCATTCGTGTTCTGAAACTTCAAGTGTCCGAACACTAGCCCTCTGGTGGACGACGCGATGTTGAGTTTGATTCGCGACACCCGTAGACTACACGCCAAGTCATCGATTATCTCATCGACCACTCGTTGGGAGCTATCGAACAGCATTACGTTCTGGTAATACAGATCCCGTTTCGTACAGTAGATGTCATTCGCTATAAGACTCTTAATCTTCTCCAAAACAAACTTCAGTTGCTTCTGACGTTTGGTTTGTGTCCGCACTTTGTTTCGAGGCATCACCTTCAGTGTAATACCGGTTCCGAGCTTATAGTCAGTGTTCGCCCACTTGTGTCGGTTCACGATCTGATCCATTCATCCATTCAGGCAGACGTGTGTCACAAATGGACACCAATTGAAATGAAAGCAAACTTTGAATAAGTTTTAAATCTTATCGTAAATAGCATTCAATACCTGAAGAGTATCGCAATTGGGCTCCAATTGACTCATAGTTGGCTCAGCAGTGGATTCAAAGTCTTGGCTTTGAGTGGATGTCGAGATGTTGTCTGAAGAGGAGATGTCATTGATTTGACTGAATCTGTAATCCTCTCTATTAATGGATTCAATGAATTGCTGAATAAATATCGGGATCTCATGAGTGAACGCGTGTCTGGAGTGGGGCTCAGGAGGTGTTGTCTGAGTGTGTGTCGAGTGTCCGCCGTTTGTCTCAGCGATCACGTGAGCACTCGTGAGGTTGCCATTCGTGTGTTGAGTGAACGCTTGGGACGACTCATTGGCAGCTGCGGTCGCATTGGAAGCGTTCGGTGTCTTGAGGCTCAAGAAGTGGTCAATGGTTTTGGCGAAAGCGTCGATCTTCTCAATGAGTTGTCTCTTCTCGCACTCAATGGTCCGCAGAGTCATAGCGTTGCCGAAGACGCGCGACTTGAGTCTCGACTCATCGGTGCTGTAGACCATCAACTCAGTGGACAGTTGTCTTAACTCATCCAAGAAGTGGTTGTCGTACTTGAAGATAAAGCCATCGAAAGCAATGGTCTCTTGGAAGGGATTGCATTGATGCTGGAAGTGGTGTGGCTGTGGGTCTGTGAGCCATCGCCAACTGTGGCCACTGTCTGCACACCTGGTCTGTTGACAGTGTCCTCGCGTCCAATACATGTCTTCGGCAAAGAGTTGACCACTTTTTCGACAATCAATGGGTCACTCAATGCACGCACTGTCAGCCACAACACCACTCATTCGAACCATGAGTGCGACCAATCAGTGCACACATCAGTTCCCGTTCACTCCACTCATTGGCTCACAGACTACTCACAGAACACTAAGTTTTACTCATTGTGTGAATCTATGGAACAGACAGTCAGTCATAGAGTAATGACTGCTTCCATACACTTGTCATTCATTGCCACCAATTCATAGATGCATACAATTCATGATCAATCAAACCATTACTGCATTACAATTATATTCATTCATTATATACACCATTAGATGAATATAAGAATCACTAATAAGAGACAATAGTATCACAATCACATGCCATCAGAATCTCTCTCTCTCTTTCTTTCTCTCTCTCTCTCTCTTTCTTTCTTTCTCTCTCTCTCTCTCTCTCTTTCTTTCTTTCTTTCTTTCTTTCTTTCTCTCTCTCTCT